ATATATATGATACGCATGGTTAGCTGTTCATCATTCGCAGTTCAGCAGAGCTAGTCATGATGTGCATCCAGGAGATCCGAACACACCATGAATGCCAGATGCAATGAGAACCCTTCTTCATAGACCAGCGGTAACAGGATGTCCTTGCGTCTCCCCGGATTCCTCGACCTTTTGATTTCAAGCCCTAGGTGACTTGCCATGCAGCCGACTAAGGCTAGGCTAGTTTCTAGCATCCTATCAGAACTGGTAAACCAGTCTGGTTCCTAACAGCAGTGAACAGTTCACTAGCTGACCAAGGAGATTATATAAAAACTCTCTTTATTTGGACCGATCGATGTGAATGACAGATAAAGGACAAAGTTCCTTGGTTGAATTAGGTGCTACTAAAAACCTAGGACGCTGTAATCCATCATGATTTACGTGGTCGATTCGTTTCGACAGGGTCGTCTGACTTCAAACGGTACACTGTGAGATTTTACATGACTTACGACCGTCACAACCGAATTTCACAATAGTCGTTTTGGAAGAAGGTCGTGGACTTTAAAATTTGGGAAGACTGATAAAGGGGCAGCCTGTGAAAGTCAGAGCATTGAGAATGCAGTAACAACGCTTGAGGTTGAATTTGTGTACCTAACGATCGTAATTGAAAGAGAACTCTTACAAATGGCTTCGTTTGCGGGTTTTATTAGCCAAAAGTATTCTGTTTATATGCCAACTGCATTGCGCAGTTGAATCAAGCCGGTTGATATAAGCTGATTTCTATCGAACTGTGCCATGTGGATGTGAGTACAGGACACGATTTCAAACGATCTTCGCAGCAGAATTAACTAAGGTGGTATCAGGAAGGTCAGCTTCCTGAAAGCAACCACTGAATGCCCGGAATCTACGTAGACTATAAGCTCCGCTGGGTGTTGACCAGACAGACAACGCCCCCTCAGTATGCAGCGCGTCACAGCCTTGCATCAAACCCAGACAGCGCGAGTCAGCGTTGATCAAGGACAGACAACGCCTCCGCAATATGCAGCACGTCGCTGCCTCGTACTAAATCCAGACCGCGTGCGTCAGTATTGGGCCAAGTTCAGACAGTGTCCTTCCAATAAAAAGCTTGAGGCCGTTGTACTTTTCGCACTCGCACGCACTCGTGCTCTCGCACCCACTTTGTTGGAATATAGATATTGTGTTCCCTTCCATGGGTCTTTTTCTCTCCGACACTAGGCACTGAAACGGGTCAGCAGCAGACACCACAGGCCGGCGAGTCAGCAGACATAACAGGTGGTTACTGTCCTGACCCGTGCATCGTGGACTATTTAGTTGATCAGGCGGTTGCGCACACCTAAATGAATGTACACCAGAAGAATAGGTTGCGCGTTGACAGTAGGTTTCAATGGTCTTGAAGAAAACTGGCTCAGGTGTTTCACCTTGTCAGATCAAATTCCATCCAGTCATCATAAAATCAATGAAACTGTCGTGATATCGGGTATTGCGAAGATCTCCTGGCAAACAGACGGCAATGTCAGTCCACCTGCCAACAAAGCTGATGTGGCGTAAGAAAACGTATAGTCAGTGTCATCCAACTGTGCACGACATGCGTGGGAAAACCTGTTGCGTCAAAAAAACGCCAGTGATAGATACATTGTTCTGTAAAGTCAGTCAAATGATAAGGGCCCGGCGCGTGATAGCGCATATTGAAGTCAGTGGAATTGTCACCCTCTGCGCTACTTTAGGTTTCGGTATACATGGACAAAAATTAACGACGTTGGTAGAAGGTAGCAGCGAAACCCTGCTGATTTATTGCTTCAAACACGAAAATCACGTGCCAAATCCAGTCACACAGAAAGTCGAAGTTTGTCTATGCTGCACTATGGGGCTTTGTAAGAAATTTTAAAGAAACCTAAGTACGTTTTCACATGCCGTCAACAGTCGCAGGCGGACTGCGACAATTGACAAAAAGAAAATTTGGCAGTTGGTTACGGGTCTCAGTAGTGTTCTTTTACTGTCATGCTGATGTTGGCTTCGTTAAACCAACAAGAATCGCACGAAAAAAAACAACATTCCATCACCACAAAACACAAAACACCGAACGATCAAGTGAGCCACGATAACATCCACGCCGCCGCCTCGCAATCGCACTAACCGAAAAACCGAAACTGGGATTCAGCTTACCGAGTTTTTACACATTAGAAGGAGGTTGACGTACGAAAATGATCAGCTGACGAAATCCATGGATGTC